CAGCTCATGTACCAGTTCTTCAAGAGGATGATGGGATTTTTCTTCCCTGGAAGAAATGTGGAAGAAGAGGAAGTTGGGGATGAAGAAGACAAGTTTAGATTGGTTACTACAGGTTTGTGGAGTTTTCTTTCTTGTCATGAGCATGACCTTCCCACCACAACTGGGATATTCAACTTTGTTCAAAATCACATCAAATGCAAATAATTCAAAATTAGAATTAGAATGCATCAAGTACAAGAAGTGAAAACAATGCTGATCCTCTAGAAAGCCAGAATTGGTCTTTACGTTCCTGTTTTAACCACTCTTTGAACTCGCTGTACTGACATCCATAGTGCAGCCCATGCTGATCAATATCAGTTTACATTGATTTTTTTTTTTTTTCTCCATTTCTTTTTTTTCCTTTGTGCTCTAGTGAGGGTATTAGATTGCTGTCTGCTGATGTTAGGTCACATTGATGGCCCATCCTGAGCTATTAAAAGCTCATCGCTCCTTTGACATTGGAGGGTTTTGTGTCTGGTATGGCTTCAGGGTGACTTCATGTGCATTGTGGAGTGTCTAAGGCTTGTTTTCTTCTTGAATCACAGGTGTCGTGAAACCCAGGCAGCTCTCTGAAGACTCCATAGGAGGGCTTGGACCCGGGAAAGGGGTGGCGCAAGGGTTAAATCGAACCGCTGGTGTCAGGAGGTCTTTTCGCAAACCACCTGAGGTATTATATTATTACAATTAAAATGTCTAGGCTACTTATTATATGTATTGCCTCTTGTTTTTTTTAGTTTATTAATTACATATCATTATTTGCATTCTGGAATGATTGTAATATTGTAGATGCAAGTCATTAATTGAGTTTTATTATTATAAAATAAAAGTTTTTTTACCTCTAAATGTCTTCTCCATTCAGCATCCCGTTGATGACATTGATAAGATGAAAGAAAGAGCAGCCATGAATAATTCTTTCATCTACATCAAGATTCCTCAGGTTCCCCTCTGCGTCAGTTACAAGGTTGGTCCTGGCAGAAGGCTCAAAGTCTAAAAGACACATCTTATGCTCACCATGGCAGTATTTATTTATCAAATTAAATTACAAAGTCACAGTAGAACAGCAATAATGTGATATATTACAGTTTAAAATACTGTTTGAATATAATTTAAAATATAATTTATTCTTGTTATAGCAAAGCTGAATTTTCAGCAGTTAGTACTCCAGTCGCATGTCACATAATCCGTCAGAAATCATTCTAATATGCTGATTTGCTGCTCTATAAACATGCCTTAAAGTTTGAAAACAGTTGTGCTGCATAATATTTTTGTCAAAACTGATTTCTTTCATTTTTTCGTTATTCTTTGATGAATAGAAATTGTATACCTTGTATAATTTATTCAGAGATCGCCATGAAAATAGCCTTGATGCTGGCATGGCGTTCAAATGAATAAATAAATAAATAAATGAATAAATAAATGTATGAATAGAAAGTTTAAAAGAACAGCATTTATGTGAAAGAAATGTCTTTTATAACCTTTTATTAATTGTATACCTTGTATAATTTATTCAGAGATCGCCATGAAAATAGCCTTGATGCTGGCATGGCATTCAAAATGAATAAATAAATAAATAAATGAATAAATAAATTTATGAATAGAAAGTTTAAAAGAACAGCATTTATGTGAAATAGCAACCTTTTGTAACATCATAAATGCATTTACTTTACTAATTTAATGCACATATAAATTTATATTATATATTATAATTATAATGTAATTAATATAATTGTAAGTATAATACCAGTATTAGCATCCCTTCATTGGCTATTTCTTTCTAAAGCTACAATTTGTAATGTCTACTTGATACTTTCTCATTTGACACAAAAATAGCTTTAAATAATCTTTTGTGAGTATTTTAACAGTCAAATTTATTTTGCGATTAATTAGATTAATCGACACAGAATAGAAAATAGAAAAATGTTTTAAAATACAGTAAAAGTCTGTTTTTTTTACTATTTTATTGTTCAGTAAATAAACAAATAAAAGTAATTTTTATTCATCTATTCATCATGCTTTAAAGAAAATGCATTCGCAAATCAAACACCATTTCAGAGATCTGAGTTACACTATGAGGAGTGATCATAAAATGACACTGCCTTTAGAAAACCTAAAAGTAAGAAGCACATTAAAATCATTGTAATGTTTATAAGTTTTACCTCCAAGTTTTTCAACAAAGTCTTTGCAAATATATGTTGTTAATATTCGATTCATTGCATGCCCTGGTGTGACTGTATGCATTTCTCTTGTGGTGTATCTGTAGGGAGAGAAGAGCAGTGTAGACTGGAAGGATCTGAACCTGGTTCTGCCCTGTCTGGAGTATCATAACAACACCTGGACCTGGCTGGACTTCGCTATGGCTGTAAAGAGAGACAGTCGTAAGGCTCTGGTCGCACAGGTAATCACTCGTAAACCCCTCAGTCAAAAAACTCAACTTTAAACTACATGTAAGAATGTAGTAGTAAGCCTCTGTTCAAATTTCGTTAAACTTTTGTCCCAAATAAATAGATGATAAAGGAGAAGCTGCGGTTGAAACCTGCCTCAGGCTCAGAGTCTCGAAGTAAAGCGACGGATGGGAAAACGGACAGCAGCCTCCAGCAGCAGGTGGAAGACGAGAAAGCAAGACTTCTGATCGGCTTCAGCACTGCCGACAAGAGCTCCAGCAAAAAGAGCATCTTCAGTCGCCGCAAGTGAAGCTTCTTCACAGCGATGCTGGTCTTGAAGAAGCGCTGCTGTACTTTACCGTGTCCCAGTCCGCAGGAGAAGGGACGGATGATGATAACCAAACCCAGTCCGAGGTCTCTCTCCTCTTCACCAGTGGTGCCTTTAAACGTCCGTGCTGGGTGTAGACACAGGAACCAGCACCATGGTCAAGCCATGACTGCAGGTGCTGGTCCTGCAATGGAAGAAGGGATTGTCATTCTACTGTCTATTATGAGTGCTGTACACCTGACATTGTTTTTATGTGCTCCTGTTGTGCCATAAATCATTTCAGTATATTTAAATTAACTACATACAGCATTAAATCATCTTTATTAAAGGGTTAGTTCACCCAAAAATGAAAATTCTGTCATTAATTACTCGCCCTCATGTCATTCCAAACCCATAAGACCTTTGTTCATCTTCAGAACACAAATTAAGATATTTTTGATGAAATCCGAGAGCTTTCTGACCCTGCAAAGACAGCAAGGGATCTACCACGATCAAGGTCCAGAAATGTAGCAAGGACATTGTTAAAATAATCAGCCGGTTCAACCGTAATTTTACGAAGCAACGAGAATACTTTTTGTGCGCAAAGAAAAAAATAATGACTTTATTCAACAGTTCGTCTCCTCCGTGTCCCACTTCGGAGAGTATCCACTGAACGTAAACAACAAATGCTGTTCTGTGTCAGCTGTGTCACACGGATACGTTGTTTACACTTTGATCTTAATGAAACAATGTTTCCGCGTGGTGCTGTATGTGATGCTCTCCAAAATGGTGCCAGGGTGACGAGGAGGAGACGAATTGTTGAATAAAGTCATTATTTTTGTTTTCTGTGCACAAAAAATATTCTTGTAGCTTCGTAAAATTACAGTTGAAGCACTGATGTCACATGACATCATTTAACGATGTCCTTGCTACGTTTCTGGACCTTGATCATGGTAGTATGTTTGCTGTCTATGGAGGGTCAGAGAGCTCTCGGATTTCATCAAAAATATCTTAATTTGTGTTCTGAAGATGAACGAAGGTCTTGTGGGTTTGGAACGACATGAGGGTGAGTAATTAATGACAGAATTTTCATTTTTGGGTGAACTATCCCTTCAAGTAGGATAACAACCTCACAGCTCAAGACAGTGTCCTACAATTCAACGGTTCATCTATACTTTGTATAGGAGCATTGTGACACCTTTCCTGCTGGATCAGGAGATTCTAGTAGGCCAGAATGGAAAAGCTAGAAGAATCTGAAATTCACATATACTGGAAACCCATATTATCCCACAATTAGTGAAAAATCAAGAATTTGTCCCCATTTGAGCTCAATGTTAAATTGTACATGATATTAGTTAGCTGACCACTGTTTTACTGTACTAACTACATAGTGCAATACAAAAGCGAATGGGACTGAGGATCTTCTGCCTGTGGAACAGTTGGACATCATGGGAAGCATCTTGTTTTATGCCATTTTTGCAGCCTGTCTGATTAATGCTTTGTAATTTTAACACTATGGCACTTTTTACACAAAGTATTTTCTGATATTTTTGTATCTGTGGTTATCTTCTGTATCATTTCAATAATGTCTGAGATGCTGCTGATTTTTGCTTGTCAGCTTCAAAAGTGAAAGATGTCATTTCAGCCTGAATGTTTAAAAAATGAGCACTATTTAGATTTTTACCCCCACTGTATCAGGCAATGGGCCTAGTATTGTTCTTTGTACAAATAATGGAAGGTATTAAATGTCACCAAGCATATAAATTAATATTTGTCAATAAAATAAAAGCAGGCCCCAAAGAGCCCTCAAAATTCAGTTATTTTCAAACTTTATGTAAATCATCAATAATCACTCATAAGGATGTCAGAACAAATGTAATTGGATCATTTTAAAGAAAAGTTATATAAGTTTTAAATAAAAGGTTATGGAAAACTTTAGACTTAAGAGGTGCATGATATACTAGCATGAAATAATAGTCACACACATAATTTATTATAAAGATTTGCATAAAACGCGAATAATTAAAATAGTCACATGTAGCTAACAAAATTGGAGATAATGGTGTATTTTATCTTTCAGTGCATTATTACGAATACATTGATTCTCCACTCGTTCACAGAAGCCTCTTACTAGACAAAAGAAGGCCACGTCTGTGAGTATGAGAGTTACATAATCAATCAATTATGACGTTTCTGAAGCATGCAGTGCATTGCTGTAACGTGATCTTTGTTTATGTGTAAATATTAATGAGTAGGCGGGGCGGAGTCTCGCGCTCCTGCATGTGTATCAAAGGTTTGCACACTGATGTGCGTGCTGAAACAGCGTTATTTTGTGTGCAAAGCTGGTCTAAGTAACGTGGGATTCACTTTTTATTGACAGACTTTTGTGGGAGAGTAGATTTGTTTTTTAAGAAATTCGCGTGTCGTTCATTTCTTGTTGATAAAATGTGATGGGCGGCGACGGGAGTAAAAATAAGGTAAGAGTGTTTACTGTTCTATTAACACCTCACACTGATGAATAACAGAGTTTGTTCAAAGTAACGCTGTGTGGACACGGCTCGGTCTGAGTGAAATATTGATTGTGCTTTGCAGGTTCATGGGACTAAAATAGAGGCTATATCAATTTCATGAGGCAATTTCATGATTAAATTCAGATTACATTGACACGTAAGATGTTCCTAGTCTCCTCGTGTTATTCAGTCAAATGTGTTTACCGTTTTAAGAATTGCTTACAACAGATAAAATACTGCCATGCAGTATTGATATTTACAGACGTTAAACAACTAACGTTACACACAAAATTAGTCTGCATAACATCACATTACACAACGATTCACAAAATTGATAGTTACAAACGTAGAATATGGAAAAACGTAGAAAAGAATGAAAAGAGGTAACACCGGAAACAAATTCAGCTTTAATTCGTGTGTTGTTATACAATTTGCTCCCAAGACATATTTAATTAATTTCCTTCAGTAACAAAATTAGCCTACTGACACTAGACAGTGTATAACTTCATAGTTTATGAAATGCCACTTGATTTTATATTTTGCTGTTTAATGCAATGCAACTGGTATTTCAAAGGTTACACCTTAGTATATGGACCAATTCTCACTATTTACTAGTTGCTTATTAGCATGCCTATTATTATTAACATATTGGCTGTTTAATAGCACATATTCTGCATGACCATATTCTACATTCCTAATCCTATCCAATACCTAAATTTAACAACTCCCTAACTAACTATTAATAAGCTGCAAATTAGTAGTTTATTGAGGCAAAAGTCGTAGTTAATGGTTTGATAATACGAGAATTGGACCTTAAAATAAAGTGTGACCATTTTAAATGTAAATTAAAGCGGTAATTCGCTCAAAAATGATAATTCTGTCATCATTTACTCAGACTCAAGCTATTCCAAAGCTGTACGAGTTTCTTTCTTTTGTTGAACATAAAAGGATATTTTGAAGAATGCGTGTAACCAAACAAACAATTGATGGCCCATTGACTTTATTTTTTCCCCCTTACTATGCAAGTCACTGGGGTCCGTCAAATGTTTGGTTACCAGCATTCTTCAAAATATCCTCTTTTATGTTCAACAGAAGAAAGAAACTCATACAGGTTTGGAACAGCTTGAGTGTGAGTAAATGATGACAGAAGGATTATTTTTAGGTGAACTTTTAGTAGTCTTTTGGGGCCATTGCATATTTACCTTTGAACGCACACTAGCTAGTGATCGGTTAAGCATTAGCCTATATGTTATCATAAGTGTTTGTGATTTTGTATAGTTTTTATGAATGATGTCGTCTTTGCTGCAGGAATCAGCATCGCTGGTGAAGAGGAGATCCCTGTCATGTCATCAGGGCTCGCTGTCTCTCCCGGTTCAGCTTGTTCATCACAGTCTATTTAGACGCAGCGCCCAGCACAGAGAATACCCCGTCTCTGAGCAATCTCGGCCCTCAGACTCAAACCCTGAGGGGCCTCGTGTAGAGTGGACACTGCCGGGCTTTATTTCCATTTTCCTGCCGGAATTTCCTCACAGGTTTACTGGGCATAAGCATTTACAGGTAGTTCATTGCCACAAGTCATAAAATCCTCACATAAATCACCCAAAAATATAAATTGTCATCATTTACTCTCCCTCATGTCAAACCTGTATGACTTTCTTTCTTCGGTGGAACACAAAAAGAGACATTTTGAAGAATGTACCTTTAATGTTCCACAAATGAAAGACACACAGGTTTGACAGTTTTCATTTTTGGGTGAAATGTCTGAAATGAAAAAGTAGCATACTTTTAAAGAGAGAATTTATTTTGAGTAATATGCTTTAAAAGAGTGTATTCAAGTGTGAACTGGATGTAATGTTAATTGAAATGAAAATGTACCATAGTTTATATTAAATGTTATTAGTTGAACTTAGGAACGCTTTTTTGATTACTAGGACTTAAGCATCTTTATATGTAATTTCATAATTACTTCTATTGTACTGCTGAATGTATTGATAAGCTTTTATGGTAAACTAAAATATGCTTTATTGTCATTTCTATTGAAACTTGTATGCCAGGTATTTAAATACATTTGTAATTACACATTTATAGCAATGAAGTTAGTAAATTGGAGAGAAATTTATAATATATTTACTTTAAATGTTAACATTTTACAATTTTTTTGTTTGTTTCTTTAGTATGTTAGTCAGCACATCAAAATAAATGTATTTCTTTAAAGCATAACAAAAGGTTATTAATATATAATTATTTAAAATGTACTTGAATTTTACATTACAAAGTGCACTTTTTAAAAGTGTACTTAAGTATGTTAAGAAATAGTCATGACAGTGTACTCTTTTTAAGGACACTCAGGTGGCATTTTATTACATTTTATATGTACTTATTTTTTTTAATTACTTTTAAGATTTGAAGTACACTACAAGTGCACATTCAATACCATTACACTCCCTTTAAATCCTGTGATTTAAAACTAGTTTGTCTTTTTTAATCAGTGATTCTTTTCTCAGATTCTTGGTTTTGTAGCTAAAGGCTCGTTTGGTCCAATCCTGAAGGTGAAGGACATGTCTAAAGATGAGACCTATGCTATTAAGGTGACTTATTCTGCCTTGTTCTGAATTTCCTGTCATGTTATTGCCTTTTGGAAAATGTGTTTTGTTTGGTACGCTCCAGAATTTCTGCTGTCACTGTTGGTTAGGTTTTACCCAAAGCTGAGGTTTTGAGACATGGAGTCCTCCAGCAGTCCAAAGAGGAGGTGATAATTCAAGTAAGTCACACTGCGCCGCTCTCTGCGCTCTGTGTCAGCTATGGCTCGTCTGATCTGGTTCTAACCGGGTCAGTGAGACATGGACAACGCTGACTTCCTCTCAGTCAATACCCTATAAGCATGCACACATTTCATACTTCAATTGTTTTGCTCATGCCATTATGATTTCTTCCCACTTCCTCTCAGCGCCTGCACTCACGTCCATCTCATGTTGTGTTGTCAACTGTTACATTGTAGCGACAAGTCAGACATCCTTTCCTCCTCAGTCTCCGGGACTGTTGGCAGAGCCAGAGCAATCTCTTCATCAGTGAGTCACACCACATACATTACATACCCACTGTCCCGCTCCTTATTTTCCTTGGCTTTAAAGCAGGGGGCTTCAAACTGGGGTGTCCAGAGGGCTTTTGAGAGAATGAACATTACAAAAGTTATAAAATGTATTCTGTAAGGTATTTTTACAACGTTAATGTAATATATAAATTAAATGTATTATATTTTTGTGTGTGTGTGTGTATATACACGCACACAGACACACACACACAAATATAACACATGTAATTTATAACACACTTACTGAATTTCATTACTTAGTTTTTCTTTCTGTTTTCTAAAGACAGGTCTGAAGTCCTGACATTATTATTTTATTCTACTGACAAAAATATTTTATATATTTAAAAAAAAAAATTTAATATAAAAAGCATTTCAGTATTATATTTTACCTTTTTAAGAATTTATCCTCTACACAGTCATCTTTAGCTTGCTTACTGAAGGATTTATGGCAATATTGTCTCCAAGAATATGTAAATGTAATATTTTATATGAAATAGCTATACAAATATACTTTACAAATATATTAATTAACCTAATTACCAACTATATATCAAATATTTTCCAGGTAATATTGTAATGCTAATATATTAATATACTAATTAATTAATGATCATTTGCATGCTGTCATTATATTATCACATTTTTCTTACACAGTGAAATGGTTTTTAACAATGAAAATAAGTATTATGTACTACATAAATATTTTCCAGATTATATA